GTGCCTGGCATGAGTTTAAGCCACCGGGTCCGGGACTCGAACCACCGTCGACTACGTGGGAGTCCAGCGACATAGCCATTATGCTAACTGCTGGTCCCATGCCCAAGGTCTTGAGAGGAGAATGGAAAAGAAGGGATTATGGCATGGCCATCCCCCAGGAGGGGGGTGATTTCTCACTTTCTATCTCTCGGTCTCTTTAGTGAGTGCACACACCCTATAGCAAAAACCTCTCTTCACAAAAAATTTTCTGGGGACTGGCAGTGGTATGGTGGTTAAGGGCGTTGGACTCTCACATGGCCGACCATGGTTCAAGTCCCAGAACTGGCGGCTTTCTCTCTCTCTCTGTTCTTCTCTGGTCAAATTAAAATAAATGAGTGAATAAATAAAGTTAAATAAAATAATTCTTGGGACCAGCAATTGGGATAATGGCTATGTCGCTGGGCTCCCATGTAGTCGACCGCAGTTCGAGTCCTGGATCCAGTGGCTTAAACTCACACTGGGCACGTGTGCATGCGTGCCCAAGAGGAGAATGGAGGAGAAGGTTTGTGGCATGGCCATGCCCCCTGGGGTTGCTTTCTCACTTTCTGTTTCTCTATCTCTCTGGCAAGCGCACATGCCCTGTAACAAAAATCTCTAAAAAAATTTTAATTAATTAATTAATTAATTATTACCAAAAAAAATTTCCAGAGTCTTGGTTTAGAGTGTTTGTGAAATGATATTATACTCTAGTTTTACCTTTTCACTAATGTTGAGGCCTATCAAGTGACAAAATGTCAAAAAATTAATTATTTTGTAATTACAGAGTCTATAGCCTCTGTCTCTTTCTCATACACAGTAACTCACTATGTTTTTTTTATAATTACTTTATTTTATTCTTTTTTTTTTTTTTTAATTTGACCAGAGAGCGAGAAAGGGAAAGTGAGAAAGCAGACATCCCATTTCAGAACCTGAACAACAATCAGCCATGTGGGAGTCCAGTGTCCCAACTACCACACCACCTGCTGACCCCACTCCTTTTCTTTTCTTGCTCCTTTTTTTCACTTGGATTTAAATTGTTACTAAGTATTTGTTTTGTTTTAGTTTGCTGTAAGTTCCATGCACTGGCTGGTGAGCGACAGAGAGAGGGAGGGAGAGAGAGAAATAGGAAAAGTGAGAAAACACCCCCCCCAACCCAGAAGGAATGATCATGCTGTAGTCCCTTCTCCATTGTTTTTTTTAAGAGAGAGATTTTTGCCCTAGGGCATGTACACCTGCTGGACAGAGAGAGACAGAAAGATAACAAGAAATCACCCCGCAGAGGGATGGCCATGCTGCAATCCCTTCTCCATTCTCTTCTCAGAATCTTGGGCACACATGCACACATGCCCCACTTGAATTTTAAGCCACTGGGTCTGGATCACGAACCATGGTTGACTATGTCTTAGTCCAGCAATGTAATTAACCATTATGCAATCTGCTGGTCTCATCTCCCATTCATTCTTCTCTCAGGATTTTGGGTGCATATACAAATGCCTGTTGTATTTCTCAAGCCACCAAGTCCAGGACTTGAGCTACATAGTTGACCATGTGGGATCCAGCCACCGTAACCACCACACCACTAAGTTGTTGTTTTTTAATTAGAACTATTTATTTAATTAATCTTTATTATTATTATTTTTATTAAAAGTTTGACCAAAGAAAGACAGAGAGAGAAGGAAATGAGAAAGCAAGCCATCAGGTCTAGTACTCAAACCATGGTTGGCCATGTGGGAGTCCAGTGCTTTAACTACTATACCCTGACAGCCCCACCACTAAGTTTTTATAGTTACAAGAAAATTTTAGCTATAAGTTATCTTAGTGAGGCTGATATTATGAATAGAACTGCTTGAATTATAGGCGGGAACTACTGGAAATCAGCCCAATCTAAAAGACATGATTAAGTGAATCCTAATCTAAATAGTTTAATATGGTAGAACCTGACAGGAGGCCAGCTTAATGCCAACAGTGTAAGAGGCATCCTACCATTACTTTGTATATTTGGAATATGGAACCAAATCCATACAATAACAAGATGTAAAAGTTATTTCTTATATACTTACAAGGCATCGATCTTTGTTTACTTTCATAGATATCATGAATAAGAAACCAAAACTAGCCTGGGAACTTTATCTCAAGATGGAAACCTCTGGCGAGTCTTTTAGCCTCTTACAGCTCATTGCTAATGACTGCTACAAGGTGAGTCTGAGGCGACAGAGGGGACCCTGGAGATCAGTATCGTGAGTGCACCAGCTAAGTATTAGGAAAAAGTGTCCCAGAGGCTAAATAGGTATTAGTGAGAGGATTTGCATAGTGATATCAAACCATGGTTGATTGTTATCCTTTTCATGAATGAATGAATTCAAAGATAGTATTTCAGAGTTTTACATGTTTTTCTGGGAGTCCTAAAGACACCTCACATATGTATATGGAAAGATGTATGTGAATCTCCATGTGTATAGAATAATGATTTAGAGAGGAGGTTTTAGATTTCTAATGGCTATGGCCTGTAGGTAAAGTGTTCATCTGGTAACAGCTCAATACCAATGTCTTCTGGACATTTAGAGATAGCTACAGGGAGTCATCTACATTCAACTAGCGATTGAAGCACTGAATGGTAAGAAGGCAAACCAAATCTCTGGTGCGAGTGGTGTATAGGATAAACAAGGGGAGAAAGGTATTTAAAAAAAAAAAAGGAGAGAGAATAAAAAAGGTGGTCCAAGAAGCAGGATGCTGTGCAGCATGAGAACCATGTAGGAAGGTCCCCAGGTTTGGATCCAGGTCAACCTGAACACGATAGGTGTATTCAGAGGGGTGGCCCTTGAGCCTGGCTGGCTGGACAAGAGGATCACAGCATGGTGAGATCTTGTCAGGAGTACCCCTCCCTCCCTCTCTCTTAAAATAGACTTTTTAAAAAAATTATTATTTATTTTATTTTATTTATTCATTCATTTATTTTAATTTGACCAGAGAGAGACACACAGAGAGAGAGCGGGGAAGGGAGAAAGGAAGCCGCCAGGTCCAGGACTCGAACTGTGGTCAGCCATGTGGGAGTGTGCAGCACCTTAACCACAATGCCACTGCTGGTCCCCTAGATAGACATTAAAAAAAAAAAAGAACATTTAATGAAGGACTGGCTTTTTCAAGTGTGTTTGTATGTAAGGAGTTGGAAAAGTAGGAGGAGGGAATAGTTGGAGTGCCTATCTTACAGATTAGAAGCTGTTTTAAAAATTAGTCTCAAATTCTAGAAATTTCTACTTTTGCGATATCTCATCCTATCTAAAAGACAGGAAAATGTTAAGTAAAGAGAATCTTGTGTGAACTTTATCAAAATAGCTCATTTCAGAGTGAATCATCACCATCAATGGAAAATGTCTGAAGACATGGGAAACTTGAAAATAATAGTTTATCCTGACTTGGTAGATGGCAACACTAAAGAGGTTAAGGGAGATGGAAGGAAGGAAAATACTAAAAGAGAGGAAATTATTTTAATTTCATGTGTCCAATCTGAAGTGTTTTGGGGATCCCAGTAAAGACAATACAAGTAGGACGTTATCAGAGTGAGCCTAGAGCTCAGGTGCTCATGTGTGAGACCAAGATTTGAGATGTAGTTTTAGAAATTACCAATAGTCAATGGTGGTACAGTAGCAGCAGCAGGAGCAGTAGCCAAGTGTGAGAAGGAATATGATGAACCAGTAAGTGGGCAGAGGGACCGTGAAAGACACCAGAAGGGTCAATCGTCACATAACGTTTCAGTCAGTGATGGACCACATATACAACAGTGGTCCCATAGGAACATACAGGCTCTCCCACACAGCCTAGGTGTGTAGTAGGCTGCACCAACTAGATGTTTGACGTTGTGATGTTCATACAGTGACAAATTTGGCTACCTACACATTCCTCAGAATGTATCCCTATTGTTAAGGATTGTTAAGGAATGCTTGATTATATTTAAGGGATAGAAATAGAAACAAGAGTAAATAAAAGGGACAGAGAAGAAAGCAAAGAACTGGGAGGGAAAAAACCTTTTTTATGTTACTCTTTTTTAAATTTCTATTTTATCAAAACTAAGGAATAAGAGTGTAAAATCTGCAACCAAATAGACATGTATGAAGACTGAGAAGACAGTAGTAGTAGAGAAGACAGTCAATTAGAAAGCAGATACAATGACTGTAAGGTAGACCACAGTCTTTGAAAAACTGATACTGAGGATAAGGAGAAAAATGTTGCACTACCTTAAAAGGAAAAACAGGGCTTGGGATTTGGAGGTGGTGGTGGTGGAAAGTTCTTTTTCTTTTGAAATAGGTATATATAAGTAGGAAAAGGAAAAATAGTCGTTGAACAGGCAGATCAAAGATTCCAGGAAGAGCCAACTCCATGGCCTGGTAGTTAAGGCAGCTGGATCCCACATGACTGATTGCTTAGTTAGAGTCTTGTACCTAGCATTTTGAGAAGCACTCTAGAGTGCATTTATGTGCATGCCTAAAATCCTGAAAGGAGGAAGAGATAGAGAGAGATGGAGGTGTGACTACTCTTTTTTTGGGGGGAGGGGGAATTGCTTTCTCCTCTCCTTCTTACTGTGTCTCTGACTCTCTCTGACAAAGCACACATGCCCTCTAGTAAAAAAAAAAATCACCCCTGGGGGGTGATTTCTTGCTTTCTGTCTCTATGTCTCTCTCTGTCTGGCGAACTCATGCGCTCTATAGCAAAAACCTCTCCAAAAAACCAAATCCATACAATAACAAGATGTAAAAGTTATTTCTTATATACTTACAAGGCATCGATCTTTGTTTACTTTCATAGATATCATGAATAAGAAACCAAAACTAGCCTGGGAACTTTATCTCAAGATGGAAACCTCTGGCGAGTCTTTTAGCCTCTTACAGCTCATTGCTAATGACTGCTACAAGGTGAGTCTGAGGCGACAGAGGGGACCCTGGAGATCAGTATCGTGAGTGCACCAGCTAAGTATTAGGAAAAAGTGTCCCAGAGGCTAAATAGGTATTAGTGAGAGGATTTGCATAGTGATATCAAACCATGGTTGATTGTTATCCTTTTCATGAATGAATGAATTCAAAGATAGTATTTCAGAGTTTTACATGTTTTTCTGGGAGTCCTAAAGACACCTCACATATGTATATGGAAAGATGTATGTGAATCTCCATGTGTATAGAATAATGATTTAGAGAGGAGGTTTTAGATTTCTAATGGCTATGGCCTGTAGGTAAAGTGTTCATCTGGTAACAGCTCAATACCAATGTCTTCTGGACATTTAGAGATAGCTACAGGGAGTCATCTACATTCAACTAGCGATTGAAGCACTGAATGGTAAGAAGGCAAACCAAATCTCTGGTGCGAGTGGTGTATAGGATAAACAAGGGGAGAAAGGTATTTAAAAAAAAAAAAGGAGAGAGAATAAAAAAGGTGGTCCAAGAAGCAGGATGCTGTGCAGCATGAGAACCATGTAGGAAGGTCCCCAGGTTTGGATCCAGGTCAACCTGAACACGATAGGTGTATTCAGAGGGGTGGCCCTTGAGCCTGGCTGGCTGGACAAGAGGATCACAGCATGGTGAGATCTTGTCAGGAGTACCCCTCCCTCCCTCTCTCTTAAAATAGACTTTTTAAAAAAATTATTATTTATTTTATTTTATTTATTCATTCATTTATTTTAATTTGACCAGAGAGAGACACACAGAGAGAGAGAGGGGAAGGGAGAAAGGAAGCCGCCAGGTCCAGGACTCGAACTGTGGTCAGCCATGTGGGAGTGTGCAGCACCTTAACCACAATGCCACTGCTGGTCCCCTAGATAGACATTAAAAAAAAAAAAGAACATTTAATGAAGGACTGGCTTTTTCAAGTGTGTTTGTATGTAAGGAGTTGGAAAAGTAGGAGGAGGGAATAGTTGGAGTGCCTATCTTACAGATTAGAAGCTGTTTTAAAAATTAGTCTCAAATTCTAGAAATTTCTACTTTTGCGATATCTCATCCTATCTAAAAGACAGGAAAATGTTAAGTAAAGAGAATCTTGTGTGAACTTTATCAAAATAGCTCATTTCAGAGTGAATCATCACCATCAATGGAAAATGTCTGAAGACATGGGAAACTTGAAAATAATAGTTTATCCTGACTTGGTAGATGGCAACACTAAAGAGGTTAAGGGAGATGGAAGGAAGGAAAATACTAAAAGAGAGGAAATTATTTTAATTTCATGTGTCCAATCTGAAGTGTTTTGGGGATCCCAGTAAAGACAATACAAGTAGGACGTTATCAGAGTGAGCCTAGAGCTCAGGTGCTCATGTGTGAGACCAAGATTTGAGATGTAGTTTTAGAAATTACCAATAGTCAATGGTGGTACAGTAGCAGCAGCAGGAGCAGTAGCCAAGTGTGAGAAGGAATATGATGAACCAGTAAGTGGGCAGAGGGACCGTGAAAGACACCAGAAGGGTCAATCGTCACATAACGTTTCAGTCAGTGATGGACCACATATACAACAGTGGTCCCATAGGAACATACAGGCTCTCCCACACAGCCTAGGTGTGTAGTAGGCTGCACCAACTAGATGTTTGACGTTGTGATGTTCATACAGTGACAAATTTGGCTACCTACACATTCCTCAGAATGTATCCCTATTGTTAAGGATTGTTAAGGAATGCTTGATTATATTTAAGGGATAGAAATAGAAACAAGAGTAAATAAAAGGGACAGAGAAGAAAGCAAAGAACTGGGAGGGAAAAAACCTTTTTTATGTTACTCTTTTTTAAATTTCTATTTTATCAAAACTAAGGAATAAGAGTGTAAAATCTGCAACCAAATAGACATGTATGAAGACTGAGAAGACAGTAGTAGTAGAGAAGACAGTCAATTAGAAAGCAGATACAATGACTGTAAGGTAGACCACAGTCTTTGAAAAACTGATACTGAGGATAAGGAGAAAAATGTTGCACTACCTTAAAAGGAAAAACAGGGCTTGGGATTTGGAGGTGGTGGTGGTGGAAAGTTCTTTTTCTTTTGAAATAGGTATATATAAGTAGGAAAAGGAAAAATAGTCGTTGAACAGGCAGATCAAAGATTCCAGGAAGAGCCAACTCCATGGCCTGGTAGTTAAGGCAGCTGGATCCCACATGACTGATTGCTTAGTTAGAGTCTTGTACCTAGCATTTTGAGAAGCACTCTAGAGTGCATTTATGTGCATGCCTAAAATCCTGAAAGGAGGAAGAGATAGAGAGAGATGGAGGTGTGACTACTCTTTTTTTGGGGGGAGGGGGAATTGCTTTCTCCTCTCCTTCTTACTGTGTCTCTGACTCTCTCTGACAAAGCACACATGCCCTCTAGTAAAAAAAAAAAATCACCCCTGGGGGGTGATTTCTTGCTTTCTGTCTCTATGTCTCTCTCTGTCTGGCGAACTCATGCGCTCTATAGCAAAAACCTCTCCAAAAAAAAAAAAAAAATACAGACAACGGGGAGCATGTTTGATGGAATAAGGCCCTAGGAGAGATGACAAGGAGATAGATTAAAAATCAAAGAAAGATCACAACTTTAAAAAACATTTTGGCATTACCTGGTGTCTCAGTGGTCCCATGAGCATCAGCTAGTTTGGTGACTCACTGGAAGGACTCACTGGTACTCCTGGCTAATATTCATTATAGGAACAGCAGGAAAAGATATGTATAAGTCAATGAAAGCTAGAGAAGTCAAACACAGGCTTTCTTGTCCTCCCTTTGTGAGGATCACATGATCACATCTTTTCCCAGCTGCAAAATGCAGGGACATCTGTGTTTTTCCTTATTTAAGTAAACAGAACAAGTATGAAAAATGGCAAAATTAAGCCCTAATACACCAATAATTGCATTAAATGTAAATGGTCTAAATATAACAATTAAAAGGTAGATGTTGGGGCCAGGAGGTGGTATGGTGGTTAAGGGTGCTTGGGATCCCACATGACTGACCACAGTTCAAGTCTCAGACCTGGCAGCTTGCTTTCTTGCTTCCCCCCACCCCCTTGCTTTCACTCTGTCCCTCTCTGGTCAAATAAGTTAATTAGTTAAATAATTATTTTTAGAAATAGATGTTGACAAAGAGGATAAAAAACCATGGCCCTATTACCCTATTATGTGCTCCATATAAGAAATTCACATCATGTATAATGACATGGTTATGTCAAAAGTTAAAGGATGAGGGGCCAGCAGGTGGTGTGGTAGTTAAGGGTGCTGGACTACCACATGGCTGACTGTGGTTCAAGTAACGGACCTGGTAGTTTGTTTTCTCACTTTCTCTCTCTCTCTCATTCTCACTCTCTGTCCCTCTCTGGTCAAATTAAATAAATTTAAAAAAATATAAAGTTAAAGGATGGAAAAAAGATATTCCATTAAATAGTTCGATAGTTTTCTTAACAAACAAATGCACACTTACCATTTGACTCAGCAATTGCACTCTTAAGCTTTTTTTTCTTCATTTTGGTTTTTGCCATAGGGTGCATATGCTTACCAGAGAGAGATAGAAAGATAAAGTGCGAAATCATCCCCCAGGGAGATGGCAATGCTGCAATCCCCTCTTCTCCGTTTTCCTCTTGGGATTCTGGGCACCCACACTCACATGTCCAGTGTGATTTTCAAGCCACCAGACCTGGGACTTGAGCCCTGGTCCGCCATGTGGGAATCCAGCGTCCTAACCTCCATGCTCTTCTAGCCCCATACTCCTGTGTTTTTATCCCAGAAAAATGAAAACCTGTAGCCACACAAATATACAAATGTTCACAGCATAAATTTTAATACATAAATGTTAATAGCTTTATTTGTAATGGTTTAAAACTGGAAGTGATCAGACTCTCTCCGTAGGTTGAATGGTTAAATAAACTGGCTTGGCATGGAATGCCACTAAGGTGGAATCTGACTCCCTTGCCCCTTCCCCTGTATTTCACATCTGGACAAAATGATAAGAAAACCATAGGTGCTCCCTTCCTTGGTGCCCCAGGGTGATTCAAACCACACAAGTCCCGCCCATGCCCTGGAGCCCTCACCTCAGCCCCACCCCTAACCACAGCAACACCCAGGTAACCTTCCAGGCCAGCTGCCTTTCCTTGCTTTCTCAGGCTATTTTTTTTTTTTTCCTCAGGCTATTTTGAACCTGCTTGCAAGGCTGGCCTTGCTCTCCCTAGAGACCACAACCATGTGGATAAGAAACCTTTTCTTACTCCCTTTACATGTGTGTGGCATCATTAGTCTTAACATCTGAAGGAAACTTTGAGTAGGAGTCTCTCCTGCTTTTGCATTGTAGTCACATTATATAATTGTATTCATATTATATTTAGGGTGACCATAGTAGGAGCTAACTATCAATACATACAGTAACTCGGATTAACTAGGACATTACGCTGAGTGAAAAAAACAATGTCAAAGGGACCCAGACTGTTTGATTTTATGTATATGACATTCTTAAAGTGACACAGTTATAGAAATGAAAAATAAGTTAGTGGTTGTTAGGGGTCAGAGATGGGAGCAGGGAGGGGCTCACATGACTGCAAAGGGGTAACAAGGGAAATCCTGCGGCAATTGAATAGTCTGTGATTGATCGTGGTGATGGGTATGTGACTACATGTGATGAAGTGATAAGACTATCCCCAACACACCCAGTACCAGTGTCCATTTCCTGTTTTTGATTCTGTGATGTATTATGGTGATGTGAGCTGTATTGTGTATGTAATGGATCTCTGTCCCAGCTTCGTAACCTTGGATGGGTCTGTAATTATTTTAATAACATCATGTTGTGAACCTTAAATATATACAATGAACTTTATTTTTAAAATAAATGAAGTGAATTTAAAAAAAACAGCTAGAGCTATATACAGCAATATAGATGAATCTTACAATATTGAGTCATAGATGCAGGATACAAAAGAATATTTCCAGTATTAGTTCATATAGATAAAGTTCTGGGAGTTCCACTCAGCAGGTGGTGTGGAGATTAAGGTGGCTAGATCCCACATCTAGAGCCCACATGGCCTAAGTAGTTTCAGCCCCTGACACAGCGACTCAAAAATAATGCCAGGCACATGTGCGTGCATGCCCAAAATTCCAAGAAAAGAATGGAGGGCAAGAAATTGTGGCATGGCCATCCCCCCAGGGGATGATTTCTTACTTTTCCTTCTCTTTCTTTCCCACTCTCTCTCCTTCTCTCCCTGCCCTCCATTATCCCCCACACCCTATAAACACATGCACCTAGTAAAAGTCTAAAAGAAAAAGAAAAAAAGAATAAGAATAGACGTTTCCTATGGATGAGAAAGAGAAAAGGGTTATTGTCTAGAAGTGACACACAGAAAAATTTTGTTTTGCACTGTGTCTTGACCTGGGTGGTAGGTCAAGTAATTGTATTCACATTATATTTAGTTAGTAAGCCATACATGTATGTTTAATGTACCAGTCTGTGTGATATTTCACAATAACAAATTTGTTTTTAAGGTGACATAGATAGAAAGATTAATCTTGAAAAGAATAAGAACACTTCTTTCTGTGAGAAAAGAAGAGAGAAATGAAGGATGAAAAAAGGCATACATACACCTTGAACTGAAAGGAGGAAAGTTTTATTTTCCCTGTGAATTATAGGATACAGCTAAGCTAGGAATGCAGTAGCAGTCTTTTTGTTTTTTGTTTTTAGAAACTTTTGCTATAGGGCATGTACGCTCTCTGAAGAGACAGAAAGTGGGGAATCACCCTCCCATGGGATGGCCATGCCCAATCCCCTCTCCTTTCTCCTCTCACACATGTGTGGCCATGCACACACATGCACCCAGTATGAGTTTTAAGTTGCCGGGTCTAGAACTCAAACTGTGGTTGACTATTTGGGAGTCCAGCGACATAACCATTACACCATGTGCAGGTCCATGCAGTAGCAGTCTTAAGGAAATTGTCAAAAATTTAGAAAAACAGTTAACGGGAATAGAAAAGCAATTAAGCACACTGATTAAACTGTTAAGTGTTGGGACCAGCTGATGGTATAGTGGTTACATCATTGGACTTAACTCTTAAAACATAAATGCAACTCTCTTAAGTTGAACATGATCAGATTAGCATGAATGATAGTGGTCATCTAAGGAGAAATTATTTTTCTTTTTTTTTAAAGAATTATTTTGTTTAACTTTATTATTATTATTATTTTCCAGTTTGATCAGAGAGAAACAGAGTTAGAAAGCAAGCCTCCGGTCCTGGACTTGAACTGTGGTCAGCCATTTGGGAGTTCAGCTCCTTTAACCACCATGCCACCTGCTGGCCCCTCTAAGGAGAAATTATTAAGAGAGAGGGAAAGTGAGAAATCAGCCCCCGGGGGATGGCCTTGCCATAATCCCATCTCCTCCATTCTCCTCTCAGGGCATGTTCACACACACACACACACACACACACACACACACACACACCTGTCTTCTTTTTTTTTTCAAGTTGTCAGATCCAGGACTCAAGTCCCAGAGTCGGCTCTGTGGGATATTGTGCCTTAACTACCATGCCACTTGCTGGCCCTCCTTTTTCTTTTTTTAATTAGGAATTGAAATGTATTTAATTTGCTGACAAAGTGTTGTTATCGCCCATGCACTTATTTTCTACATTGTTTCATTTTATGTTCAGTATCATCCTGTGCAGCTTTTGACTACAAATAGTGTCATAATGCTTTCTTTCATGCAGATGGGCCAGTTTTACTATTCAGCTAAAGCTTTCGATGTCCTAGAGAGGCTGGATCCCAACCCTGAGTATTGGGAAGGCAAAAGGGGTGCCTGTGTGGGCATATTCCAGATGATCTTAGCTGGCAGAGAACCCAAGTAAGTCAACAGATACTGCCCTGTTCATTTTCTAGCTGGAATAGAAGATAATTGTTTTCTTGGGTGATATCTTCTGAAAACTCAAAATTATGATGATGTTCTAGAATGATGAAAAATGTTAAAATGTTAAATATTTCTTTTTTTTTTTTTTTGAGAGGTTTTTGCTATAGGGCACTTGCACTCGCCAGACAGACAGAGACAGAGAGACAGAAAGCGAGAAATCACCCCCCGGGGGGATGGCCACGCTGCAATCCCTTCTCCTCCATTTTCCTCTCGGGATCTTGAGCACGCACACACACGCGCCCGGCGTGAGGTTTAAGTCACCGGGTCCGGGATGTGAACGCGGTTGACCATATGGGAGTCCAGCGACATAGTCATTATGCTAACTGCTGGTCCCAAAATGTTAAATATTTCTATCTGATCATTTTCTTTCAGAAATGTTTTATTATGGAGAATCAGATCATTCTAAATTATATATACTGGAGGCACTGAGAATACTATTATTCTCAAATATAGCATAAGATGTATATTTGGTTCTAAACGAGTCATCCTTTTCATAAACAAAAAAGGCTTTTTCACTTTTCTTTGCCTCTTGGTTTTCTTGTGTCTTAGTTTAGGTCTCAAAGAATTAAGAATGGTGTGTATGTGGTTGATCTTTTTTTTTTCTTTTAACGTCTCATATTCAAGGGAATATCAAGATATTAGATTATATAAAATTAAGTGACTTATAGCTTCATTTGAAACAAAACTTAAAACAAAATTCAGTTTTCTAAAAATAACTTTGTTGAATATATTATTACTGATATATGGATAGGAACTGATCTTTTTCTTTTTTTTTTTTTTTTTGAGACTTTTTTTGCTATAGGGCGCATGTGCTCGCCAGGAAGATAGAGAGAGACAGAAAGCTAGAAATTACTCCCTGGGAGGATGGCCACGCCACGGTCCCTTCTCCTCCAATCTCCTCTTGGAATCTTGGGCACGCACACACATGCGCCCAGCTTGAATTTAAGCCACCGGGTCCGGGACTTGAACCATGGTTGACTACATGGAAGTCCAGCGACATAGCCATTACGCTAACTGCTGGTCTGGAACTGATAATTTTGTAAGTAAATAATCTAACAAAATAATTTCCTGCCTTGTGTCTACTTCCAGATCTACATAAAAGTTTAAAAGCATTTGGTTAAGTAAAAGAAGTTGTTTACAGGAAAAGAAGTAGAAAATAATAAATAATACTCAAAAAACTCTATAGGCAGTCACCTGTAGGTTTTTTTTTTTTTTTTTTTTTTTGGAGAGGTTTTCACTATAGGGCGCGTGCGCTCGCCAGACAGAAAGAGAGAGACATAGAGACAGAAAGCGAGAAATCACCCCCCAGGGGGAATGGTCACGCTGCAATCCCTTCTCCTCCATTCTCCTCTTGGAATCTTGGGCATGCACGCACACGCGCCTGGCGTGAGTTTTAAGCCACCGGGTCCGAGACGCAAACCGCGGTCGACTACGTGGGAGTCCAGCAACATAGCCATTACGCTAACTGCTGGTTCCCGTCACCTGTAGATTTGTTAAGGCAATAAAGAAGTTTTAATATGTATTACTTAAAATATGTGTTCATTTAAATTTAAATTTTTGGGGACTGGCAGGTAGTGTGATGGTTAAAGACGCTGGACTCCCACATGGCTGACCGCAGTTCAAGTCCCTGACCTGGCAGCTTGCTTTCTCACTTTCCCTCTCTCTCTCTTTCTCTCACTCTGTTCCTCTCTGGCCAAATTAAAATAAACAGATAAATAAAGGTAAATAAAATAATTCTTTAAAAAAATTTTAATTTCTTAAAATATAAATGCAGGGCCGGCCCAATAGCCTCATGGTAAAGGAGCCAGATCCGTTATAGCTGGCTGGGTTTGATTCCAATCCTCACTGTTCGAAAACACAGTAGTCTCTTGTTCATGTCTGCCCTAAACCCTGACAGGATGGAGAATTGGGGGAGAAGGGATTGTGGCATGAACACACTCCATTGGGGGGTGCTTCCTCCCACTTCTCCATTCTCTCTAGCAAGCACACGTGACTTCTGGCAATTAAAAAACTAAGTAAATATATATAATAAAACAAATATTGTGCATTTGTCAAATCTTGATTCCTTTTTTTTTTTTTTAAGTTTGCTATAGGGCATGTGTGCTTGCTGAAGAGAGACAGAGAACAAGGGGGAAAGTAAGAAATCACCACTCGGGGCATGGCCAGGTCACAGTCTTTTCTCCTCCATTTTCCTCTTCAGATTTTGGGCATGCATGCACACACACAATTAGCATGTTTTCAAGCTGCCTGGTCTGGAACTAGAACTGTAAAATCAGTCATGTGAGTGATGTCAGCCACCTTAACCACCTGCTGACCCCATCAAATATTTTTTAAAGTAATTATCTTATTTAACTTTATTTATTTATTTACTTTAATTTGACCATGGGGGGTGGGGGGGAGAGAGAAAGAAAGTGAGAAAGCAAGCCACTAGGTCTGGGACACAAACCGCAGTTGGCCATGTGGAAGTCTAGTGCCCTTAACCTTCCAGCCCCCCTATTAAATCTTAGTTCTTAATATTTTTTTCTTTTTTATTTTTCAATATATTGTTTTTCTTGAAGAAATCACCCATTCTTCTGACTTTATAAAATTTTACAAATATGGCAGTGGCACCCAGTTAAAAGTGATTACCATCTTAACGAAAGGAGAAATCTAAGACTCAGACAAATTAAGTGATTTGTTGGTAACAGAGTTAAAATTTGAACCAAACTCCTTGAACCAACCCCTGGCTAAACTTTTTCTACCCTGTCTTGTAAATTAAGTGTAAGTGGGAATATTTAGGGCATCTCAGTGAGGCCAAAGATATTAATGGTATGTATGTAGATAGCATAGATACAAAAGAAAAAGGAATCGGTAAGAAATGTTTCAAAGGTTTCCATTTTACCATGCCACCATAAGAATATAGAAAGCTAGAAAGCAGGTGGCCTGGTGGTTGGGGTACTAGTCTCCCATATGGTTGACTGTGGTTTACGTCCTGAACCTGGTGACTTGAAAATCGTACCAGGTGCATGTACATGCATGCCCAAAATCCCATCAAGAGAATGGAGGAGAAGGGATTACAGCATGGCCATCCCTGCAAGGGATGATTTCTCACTTTCCCTCTCACTGTCTCTGGTGAGTGCCCGTGCCCTATGGCAAAAATCTATAAATATATAGAAAGCTAGGAAGTTTCAATTGGCTTATGAGTACACAGTAGATTAGTCTATTACCAAAATGCCCTACTAGGAGTCCAGTATGAAAAACAATTAAAAGTTTGCTCATTTTCATTCTTTATTGAAACACTTTGTCCTTTCAAATCTTTTCCTCAGAGAGACTCTTCGAGAAGTACTCCATTTACTGAGAAGCACAGGTAACACCCAAGTAGAGTATATCATCCGGATCATGAAGAAATGGGCCAAAGAAAACAGAGTGCCTATCTAAAAGAGGTCCAGCCTCCACTTTGCTGTAACCTGGAGATACTTTCCTAAAGCTCAGCATAAGATGAAGGGCTCTCTCTGTTCCACTGACATTTCCTTCCTTGCTCTTCAAGCCCCAAGTGGTGACTGACGCTTAGACCTGGCCTCTTGGCTGAATGACCTACTGTAGTCTATGCTGTGGTTCCTGTATGGTCCTCTTAGCAATAAGACTTTGGACTTACTTGGTGCCTTTCTTCCAATAACTACTCTAGTGTACTCTAAGGAATTTACTGACTTTAAGGAAAACAAGATAACTTGTTTTTACGTTAGCATTTCATAGCATTTTCTCTTGGCTGTGATAACAAATGATACTCAAGAATCAAAGTCATTTTTTCATCTTATTTTTAGCCATTTCTGTACATTATCCCATTTTAGTAGGGAATTCAATAAAGGGGTTTGTAATGCATCTATGAATCTTGGGAGAACAGAAGTTATAACTAACTGTATGATTCTAAGAATGGCAGCAAGATCCTTTATCAAATTGTCTACTCATAAATAGATCATTGGCTTATGTGATCACTCTGCCAATAATTGAATCATTGATGATAATAACCTGTAACAGCAGAGTAAGATGACTATTGCAGTTTTTAAATTAAAAAGGTGAGTACTTTGGGGAAAAATGTTTATAGGACCTCTATAGGTATTCAGGAAACAAAGTATAAAAATTTCATTAGTTGGGCCAGCAGATGGCAGAATGGCTATGTCGCTGGACTCCCATGTGGTCAACTGCAGTTCGGGTCCTGAACCCGGTGGCTTAAACTCACGCTAGGTGCATGTGTGGGTGTGCCCAAGATTCTGAGAAGAGAATGGAGGAGAAGGGATTGCAGCGTGGCCATCCCCCCAGGGGGTGGTTTCTCGGTTTCTGTCTCTCTATCTCTCTCTGTCTTTCTGGCGAGCATACACACCCTATAGTAAAAACCTCTCCAAAAAAAAAAGAAATTTATTAGTCATGTATCCATTTTATTTTTGGTAACAAATCAGGTTAGTTTTTTTTCTCTTAATTTATCTTACTAAGCATCAGTTTTGAAGGTAGGACTACCAAGACACACACACACACACACACACAAACATACACACACAATCAGTTTTCAGAAAATAGACCCATGTCTGGGACCAGCAGATCACGTAATGGTTACATCACAGGACTCCCACGTAGTTGACCACAGTTTGAGTCCTAGATCCCGTGGCTTAAAACTCATGCCGGCACACGTGCATGTCCAAAATCCCAGGAGGAGAACGGAGAAGGGACTGCAGCATGGCCATCCCCCCAGAGGGGTGATTTCTCTCTTTCTGTTCCTCTGTCTCTCTCTGTCTCTTTGCCAAGTGCATGCACCCTAGAGAAGAAATCTCTCTTAGAAAAAGAAGGAGGAGGAGGAAGAAGAGGAGGAGGGAAGGACAGAAGGAAGGAAGAATGAAAGAAAGAAGAAAGAAAATAGACCCATGGCTTTTTTATGCATCAGGTTACCTTGGCTTCTACACTGTGAAGTTTTTCCTATTCGTTTAAGGTACCACCATTACAGGTTTAGAAAGTGCAGAGTCATCCGTCGTCAGCAAAGAATGGATGGGAAGGAAATGTGGGAAATTGAGTCAGAAGAAATGTGTCAGCACTGTACTATTCCAGTTCTCCTCCAACACCTCACATGGTGACGGAGCAGTGAGCATGGAGATGGGCAGCCTGAGGGATGAAAGGAGCCAAGGAGACCAGTGACTGAAGATGGAGAGCCTTTACCCCTGGACAGTCAGAGGGGCCTGTGAGCTCTGCTCGGGAGGGTGGCCAGTCTTAGCTTTATCATAGACACAGATCTAATTAGTTCAGAGCACAAATCAAGAGAAACTGGCCTGAATAACTGAATTCTAGGAACATCTACACCATTTTTCATAGGCCAACACCTCTGTCTCCTCATTGCATGGTTCCTACTTTTTCAATAGTAATTGATTCTCAGCATTTAAGGCACTAGGTGGATCAGACCTGAGCAGAACCTGCATAATTTCTAGAATCATTCTTGTAGTTCTTACCTCAGTTTAAATGTAGGAAACACTGCAGTGGAAAAGACCAGTGGAACTCCTCAGTAGCTTTTGGCAGTGAAATTTGTCTTCCAGTGAATTTCTATTATTGTCAAAAAGCATTTTTACTGGGAACCAGCAGTTAGCGTAATGGCTATGTCGCTGGACTCCCACGTAGTCGACCGCGGTTTGTGTCCCGGACCCGATGGCTTAAAACTCATGCCGGGCGCGTGTGCGTGCGTGCCCAAGATCCCGAGAGGAGAATGGAGGAGAAGGGATTGCGGCGTGACCATCCCCCCTGGGGGGTGATTTCTCGCTTTCTGTCTCTATGTCTCTCTCTGTCTGTCTGGCGAGCGCACGCGCCCTACAGTGAAAATCTCTCAAAAAAATAAATAAATAAAAAGAAGGAGATTAAAAAAAAAAAGCATTTTTACTGATGGTAATTTACTTCACAATGAACTTTTGTTAAATTTAACCCTCTAAATTCTCCCTGACAGTTTCCTGTCCTTTGAGGGGGGAAAAAAAATACCAGTCAGATATTCTTCACAATGAACTTTTGTTAAATTTAACCCTCTAAATTCTCCCTGACAGTTTCCTGTCCTTTGAGGGGGGGGGAAAAAATACCAGACAGATATTCCAAAAATAGCAGAATTTTAGACTACTATTTAAAAGTGTTTTTAATCTATAGGATTGAGCCAAAACACATAAAGACTAGTTGAGAGATGCCATTCAATTCTGTTATAAAGAATTTGTACTGGGTCCCACAGGTGGCCTAATAGTTACATTGCTAGACTCCCATATAGTTGACTGCAGTTCAAGTCCCAGACCCAGTGGCTTGAAACTCATGTGGGTGCATGTGAATGTGTACCCAAAAATCCCAAGAGGAGAATGGAGGAGAAGGGATTGCAGCGTAACCATCTCCCCAGGGGGTGATTTCTTGCTTTCTGTCTCTCTGTCTCTCTCTCTTTCTCTGTCCTGCAAGTGCATGCGCCCTATAGCAGAAGTCTCAACAGCAAAAAAGAATTGCTATTTCTGGGGCCAGCCAGATGGTGTGGTGGTTAAAGCAGCTGGATCTCACATGGTCAACTGCACAGTTTGAGTCGCAGACCTAGCAGCTTAGAAAATATGCAGGGCGCATTTGTGTGCATGCCCAATATCCCAAGAGGAGAATGGAGAAGGGTTTATATCATGACCATCTGCCTGGGGCATAAATTATCATTTTCTTCCTGCCCTCTCTCTCTGGTAAGCACACATGCTCTATAGCAAAAAAAGAGTTACTACTTCTGAACTGTCTTGACAGGATTTCAAGATTGCAGAAAAGTTGTGCTTGGCTGTTTTTCTTACTTGTGATAATATAGGAGAGAGGAAGGCCCAAGCTTAGGAATTGTGATATGTACAGTTTATAGCATCAGTGTACTGTTTTCAGTCTGTAGATATGTTATTTCAAATGGAAAAAATACCTTTTACAATTATTTTTGTACTTTAAAAAATTATATTCCAATGTGCAAATTAAAGTCTATTATTTTCTTTTTATTATGGCATTCTGTTGATGCTGAGTATGAGGAGCGTGGGATCTGGGTATGTCATATGCTTTCCCATCTTTGGCCCTAGAGATAAGGGAGAAAAGTAAAATTTGGGGCCCCATAAGTTACTCTCTACAAGAAAGGAAAGTAGATATTTCATAAAGAAGCTCTTCCACTTAGAGGGTGGTGGTTCCTACTAATCATATTAGGTTTGGATCTTTGCTGAATTACAGCCCATTCGGAAGTTCTGTGACCAGGGTGCAGTACAATGCTGTGCACACAGAAAGTGAATATTTAAACATACAGTAACTGGTAGAGCAAGAGACTTGGAAGATCTGACCTTATATATTCTGGTTCTTATCTAATATCATTTTTTAAGAATAATTTTTATTTTATTTATGATCAAATTTTAATTTGACCAGGAGAGACAGAAAGAGAAAGAAAGGGAAAGTGAGAAAGCAAGCCACCAGGTTCTAGACTCGAACTGTGGTCAACCGTGTGGGAGGTCCAGTGTCTTAACCACTACGCCACCTGTTGGCCCCATCCCATCTAATATTGTTTTATTGTGTGCTAAGCATATGCTAGGTGCTAGGGATGCAGAGATAAATAGTGTGCAGTCCTGGCCTGTAAGAAACTCAGTCTAACAGAATAGACACAGCTCAATACAATGCTATGTGATTGACGTCATCAGTGAGAGCAAAGAATTGAGAGATCAAAGAAAACAATGGAAAAGTCTGTGACCTTGTAAATAGGATGTTTTCTGCTTCATTTGGGGGAAGGAATCAGAATGGATACCAACTCTCAGCAGCTAGCAGGAAGCTCAGGCTTCTGCCATGTGTGGAGCACACACAGCATACATCCAAGTACACAGAAGCCAGGGACAGCATACAGCCAGTACGCTTTCCTCCTCTATGGCCTAGTATGGTTAAAAAGTCTCGAGCAGAGTTGGCCCCCTGGCCTAATGACTAAGAGAACTGCATCCCATGTGGCTGGCTGTCATTTGAATCTTGCTGACTTGAAAACCATGATGGGTGCATGTACATGTGTGCCCTAAATCCCAGCAGAATGGAGAAGTAGAGAAGGGATTGCAGTGTGACCACACTCCACTGAGGGGTTCTCTCTTTCTCTCTCTCACTCTTAAGCACATGTGCCCTCTGACAATCAAAAGATGCATGTATCAATAAATAGAAGGCATTTAAGAGTAAAGAAGGTCAAGAGTAAAGTTAATACCCAAAAGAATAAACCAGAATTACTAAAGAGGAACCAGAAATTTGTTTAAGCTTCTTACCAACCAAAGCAAAGGGTGAGGCAACAGATACAAAATTCACAAGCCATCTATGTGAATGAATTCAGTAAGGGAAGAAAAAAAAATTCAATTTGCAGTATCTTTCATTGTTCATGCGTTTCTGCACTATAACTTGGACATAATTATATGCTTTTTTAAAAATGTCAAAGCAATCTTATTGTTCCTCTCAATATACATGTTTTTTCCACCGAAAGATAGTTGGACAGTTAAATAATCATATTTGGCCTTCTATGTTTAATCTGCTCTGTAAACATATAATCAGTCACCCTTTCCTTTGCCAGTTTTTTGATTGAAGAGGAGTTATTAATATGGTAGAGCTGAGACAAATCATTCGTTTTTAAAATTACAAGCACATGTTGGGATGAAAATATAGGTAATAGTGATATAAATTTTAAGGTACTAGAAAAGCAAAGAAATGATAAGATAGTGTAGTTTATACAGTTACTGAAGAGACTGAAAGGGGAAAACCTTTGGAATAGAAAAAAATAGAAAAGTTTATGGGGGGGGCAGCAGGTGGCGTGGTGGTTAAGGCACCAGACACTCCCACATGGGTGACCACAGTTTGAGTCCCGGACCTGGTGGCTTGCTTTCTTACTTTCCCTCTCTTTCTCTCTGTGTCTCTCTCTGGTCAGATTTAAAAAAATAAATGAATGAATAAATAAAATTAATTATTTTAAAAAGAAAAAGAAAAGTTTACAGGGGGTCCAGCCCCATAATGTAGTAGCAGGATGACCACAGTTTTGAATCCCAACTCTGGTGGCTTGAAAAACACACCAGACGTGTGTGCCCCCAATCCTGGCAGGATGGAGAAAGGGAGGAAAAAGGATTGTGATATGACTACAACCTGTTGGGGAGCGCTT